AGCGTATATTTAGGAAGAACATATAAAAATAACTAATTATAAAATTTCAAAAGATGTTCAAGTGTTAAAAAAATTGAAAATAGAGATATCTCATTAAGTTATGTTGTTATTGAAAAAAAAAATAGAATTGAAAGGAAAAACTCAATTTGTCAAATCAAATCGATAGAAGAAATGATTGACCAAATAAATGGATGCAGTCCTAGCAAAAATAAATCTACTTTTTGAATCGACAGCCCCAACACCTAAAGTTGCGTACTTGTGTGGGAAAGAAAATGAAAAATATAAAGTCATGCATAATATATAATGTATGACTCTTAACATAATGAATTTCGGAAAAACTTGTATAAATAGATAAATTATCTCGTGGGGGATGCAATCACAATTCTCTATGTAGTTAGCTTGACAATGAATGAAATTTGATATGCATATATTAAATGTAGTTATAACCAACTTACTTTGTATGGTTTTAATATTATCATTAAAGGACTTTTTGTTCGAAGCATATAATTCAATTAATATCATCAAATGGGTAGTCAATATGCATTGTACTCTTTTTTCCTTGACCAGAATTTTGTCTCATTGAATTTTCCAAGCAAGATTTTTAATTAAACAACTTTTGTGGTGTATTCAAAAAAATAATGTACTCTTTTTTATTCATTAAAATTTTTTCCAAAGGGTTTTTCTTAATAAAGTTTTAACGAGGCATATTCTTTGTGTAATGATGTCCATAACCTACAAAACATTACCCTCAAAATAATACTCATTTATGTATGAGACTTTCGAATCATCATGTTATTACAATCATCAAAGATTGATAAATATTTCATATGAAGCAGTGTTATTTGAAAACTATACAAGACAATATATAATATGCTTCACCAGGAATTTCAAACGTACAAGATATGGGTCACTCAATACAAAAAATTTCGCTTATTGATTTTCTAGTATTTTACGTGTCACGACAATTAGGAATAGAGAATCTATGTCACCAGAATTTTTTGACAAGGTTTTATCGAAACGACATTTTACTAAAATTATTTGTACTCCTTTTCATCTATTGATATGTTTGTACCCTCGGATTTTGCCAAACAATGTTTCAATGAGATAACAACTGTACAAATAATCATCAAATGAGGAGTGTTGTAAAACTATAAGATAAATATTAATGATCATACAGTCTTATTATCATACATAGGTAAGTGTTATATAATTTAGAGAGTCTATTTCGTTACAATTATAACTCTCAATTTGAATGCTATAATTACGTGTCTTGATTCTCAATAAAATACACAATTGAATTATGACTCATTTATTTCTTGTCTTTTTCTCTCTAGTTTATAACATTTAGAAATTTTATTTTCCTTTCAAAATAATCACTTTGCTCGTATAAATAGAAAATTCTATAATTTGCTCTTTGTTAAAATTTTAAAAGATCAAGTACATTAATATATGCTATGATTTATTACTCTACCGTTTAAATGATTTATTTATTTATTTTTATTTTTATTGTTATTTTAAGTTGAGGTTACTTCATACCATTTTACATCTTAAAAATTTTTCTAACATTTATACATATTATTTTTAGTTTTAGTTTTTGATGTTTTCTTTCTTTTTTATGAGAAAATTTTAAGAAGTGAAGATAAATATACATAAGCTGTTCATAGAAGTATACAACTTGATATAAAATAAAAAATAAAATTGTTAATATGTTTTTGAAAGAAAAAAAATATTGTGTTGTCAAGATACTTGAATTGATATTAAAACTAATTAAGGAAATAGATATTTAAGATTAAAAAAAAAAAAACCCGATGGGCGATTATTGGAAACCAATATTTGGAAGAGTAATAAGGGGTATTTTGATCTGTTGTGCCGCTATAAATGGCAAATTTAAAATTTTTCTGTCTCTTTTCAAAATTTATTTTTGATACCAATGATTAATCCAACATGCAAATAAATGTGCCAAATATGATATATATAAATCATAAATAAATCTAAATATATATTAAGGCTTGTTTGATTAAGAAAAAAAATTTAATTTTTTGATAAATTGTGATAAAAATCAATAAAATGTGTTGTTGAAAAGTTGTGAGTTCAATGAAATATATTATTAAAATTTAATTTTTGACTTTGATTTAAATTTTAATCAAAATTTCAACCGAACCACACATGGGCTAAGTATAAATATGATCAAAAGAAAACATTAATGAACAATTCTCGTTGTATAGAATTGTTCTTACATAAGAAAACCATAAGTCTCACAAAGGCTCGGCCCACTACGTGACCCAATGTAATAAAAAATAAAAAATAAAATAAAATCCTGTCCCACCCATGTGTGAAACCTTTGTAAGAGATCTGTAAACTAGAATTTTGTACACCCAGCCCGGTTGAACATTAATATGCATATTATTACATTAGAGTGCGCATTTTATTTTATTTTCTTTTTGGTTTGAAGGCAAATGGAAACCTTCTATTAACTTAAGCTACTGCAAATTCAAAATGTAGAATGCAGTCCTATATGGTACTAAAATCTTGTAAAATAACAAAAACAACAATTTATAGTAACAAAAAAGCTAAAATAATCGCCCTCAGGACACATTTTCAAGTGGTAAAAGGGGAGGGTGGAGAAATCTAACTTTGCTTGAGGCTGCCGCGTCAAGGGTTCGAATTCTGAAATATGGATTTGGCTCTTGGGTAAGTGCAAGTGTACAAGCAGCCTTCCACCCTGTACCCTTGGAGGCATAATCTGCGATTTACCTCCCTCACGATACCCCAGGGCAGGGGCGGTAAGGAACCCTTAAGGTTGGGGTTCAACCTTTTTTTTTTAAAAAAACTAAAATAATCGACGCAATAGCTTCCAAAGCAACACACAGTATGCTTTGGAAATCGTTATTATGAGTTTCGGAGGAAATCGTTTTAGCCCGCAAAAAATAAAAATTCTTCATGAAGCCAGCTGGAAGACGTTGCATCGCTGGGAGGGTTTAGCAGGCACCACGCACAGCTCCTCATAACCCCGTGTTAACGTTCTCAATCGGATCAAATTATGTACATTTTGCATTATGTATTTTAGTCATTGATAACAAAAAAATATACATTTTGAAAAGTGAAAATTAATATATATACAAATTTACAATAAATAGCTAAATAGACCAAAATATTCTTAATTCAAAGAATAAATTATGCCTTACACATTAAATTATATAACACTTTACATAATCATGTTACACATATTTTACTAAATATTATACTTTGATTGAAAGATGGTAAAGAATGTTTACAAAATTTATGATTTCATTTCTTTACACTACAGCATGAAAAAATAGAAAATTAATTTTAACAAACTAATATTGCTGAAAAATACGGCAAAACTTTCATTTGATTTTTTCCAACATTATGAACTGGATTGTAAAGAATGTGTAGTCGAAAAGAAAAGAGGGAAAAATGTATTTTGATATTAAAAAAAAAAAAATCAGGAATCAAACAAGTCCTAAATATAAATATGATTTAAAGAAAACATTTCTGCACATTATTACATTAGGGTACACATTTTTTCCCCCTATTTGGTTTGAAGGCAAATGGAAACACTTCCCATTAACTTGAGCTGCTGCGATCACGAATTGTAGAATACAATCCAACAGGGTACTAAAATCATGTTAAAAAAAAAGTCACTTTAATCCCCACATGAAGAATGAAGTGACAAGAACCACAATAAAAAGAAAAATTATTGAAGTCATTACGAGCATTGGAGGAAATCGTTTTATTACATCCTAAAACATAAAAATTCACAATGCAGAAGATGTTGCAAGCTGGCATTTCGAACAGTTCCTCACGTTTTCGTTCTCAATTGGATCAAATTCTACACATTTTGTATGGAACCGCTCGTCATACAATTTTCAATAATCGTAACTTTCCCTACGGAGAACAGACCTTGTGAAATTAATGTTAGGCTCCTTGATTTTCGACTTCTTCAGCTTAGACTTGGCATTTTCAATAGCACGACTACTTACACTCCTACATCCAAATAGATCAATGTACTCAAGGTCCAAGCACCCTTCACAGATCAGATTAAGTCCATTATCCGTCAACTTGGAACCTTGGAGTTCAACATGCAAAAGATGAGGCATTAATATTCCAATGGCAGCAGCTTCTTCATCCTCATCCATTGGATTGGCATTCAGATACTCATTCGGGATGATTCCAAAGTGTGAGGAAGGATCCACCCAGATCATCATATTCCGCATAAGAATATGCAAGTTAGGACAATGTGATCCGATGGTTGTCAATGACTTGAAAGATATTTTACAACAGCAGCTGATATCGAGCTCCTTAAGCTTGGGACATCCAGAAGCTATTTCAGCCATAATTGAATCAGACACACGAGGACATCTCTTAATAGAGAGAACTTGAAGATTTGGACACCTGTTTGGTTGGTTGATAAAAATTGTGAGTACTGTGAAATATTAGTCTGGAGAAAAAGGAGTTTTAAGAAATAGGAGTCAAACAAGGGTCGTAGAAAAGCATTGGATGCATTAATAAGACTTGGCTCTAATGATTGCTGATTCATTTCTAATGTGAAGAAAAGAAAGTCACAACTTTGTAATGTATCAAATATTCTTTCCATTTCAGTATTAATTGAAAGAAGATGCAAATCATGGTCATAATCATGGTGAGATTAAGAATTTAATCAACGATATTAAGCTCATTTTGATTTCCATTTTCATTACTGAAACTGTCCACACACAAGCCTGAAACTGTCCACACACAAGCTGCAATCAATAACTTGAACTAAAATAGATAAATCCGGAAGAAATAAACAACAATCAGCCCAAAATATTGACGGTAAAAGCAAGTTGAACAATAATTTCGTGTCCGGTCAAATAGAAATTTCCATCTCCACCCAAGCTGCCAATGGGATAAATCAAATCGATAACTAAAAGAATAATTTAAGGAAGTAATCACAAATGAGTGAGCGGATACACAAGAAAATAAACAAAAATACCTTTGAGCAACCAAAAAGAGGGAGCGGTTCGAGCAGTGTCTAAAGGATATTATATCAAAATGATTGCTGAAAATAAATAAAATTCCTACTTTGTATAATCCATCAGATATGGGAACTAAGGTGATACCTTTAAATAAGTTTCAAAACTGTTTAAAGATGTTATCTATTGATTCTTTTCATTGATTGTACAGGTACTTGAAGCAAATGACATTATAAATGTTGGTGAAGCTCGTAGGTGCACTATAGCCTTAAGTTTTGGAAGCAATGTGGAGATTGTTGAGAATTAAACCTGTGGCAGTAAAAGATGTGCTTCCAAAATTGAAGAAAACGTGTTTTACAAATAGCAACTCTATTAGTTGAGGCAATCAACAAGATCTTGACAAGCGGCACTATTGTGGCTGTCCAATCTTATGCTAGTGACTTGCAATATATAAATCTGGAGTGACTCCATTGACCGGCAGATTCCGAGGGGAGAAAAATTCAGAAATTATTCTTCTTGTTGAGTCCGACTCGCCCCTTTCTCTCTCTACAAGAATTCCTAATTTCTTGGTGATTTAGGGTTCCAATACTTGAGTGATTATAGTTATTAAATGCATATGTAATGCTGTGAATCGAGAGCCAGAATCTATTCTTGCTGCTGGGAATGATTTTCAGATTTGAGAGACATTATTCTTCATCTTGGAAGCCCGTATCTGGTCTCTCTTTCTTCCCTGCATGAAAACCATTATTCTAGGTGATAAATGGGTTCTTATCTGGAGAATATTCTTGGGTTTGGGTCAGATTTCTGGTCGTTTTCTTTCCTATGTGAGAATTCCATTTTTGGTTATTAAGGCTCACATATTTTGGTGGTTCCAGTGAATGAATGCTGAGAAATCTTTTGTAACGTGATAGACCCATATAGTTGTGGACTGCTAGGTGTTATCTTTACAAGAATCTGTGAGATTTGCAAGTGAGCAGTGGCGGGTTTTGGAAGATCTGTGTAATCTTGGGCTGATTCCTTAGTGGATGTTATTATGCCTTGTGATTTCTCTTGAGATAAGTCTTGGTGACTTTATTTCTGTTGTACTACTGAAACATTCTTGTATTTTACTGTCTGTTTTTTGGGGCTTTATAGTGCAACCGAACTTTATCCATTTTAATGGATGTTCAACGGGGGAATAAGCGTTAGAAGTGGTCGCCGAACCTCTGAGGATTCGGCCGAAAAAATCTTTTGTTCATTTTACAATTTTCTGCACTTTATTTTACTGTTTTTTGTGTTTGGTTTAAATCTTGATTAATTCTTAGACACTCCTCGACTTTTCAGTGATATCAAAGCAATCTTGGACTACTGGAGCGTCTCTAATTCCTGTGAATTGACTGGATTCTGAAACTTTCCTTCAAACTGCAATAAACATTGGCTGGTGGAAATTGAGTTTTATCAAACTCGTTTGGTGAGATCTTTACTGTATTCTGTAATTAGGTTTTACAGTAGAGTCTATAGGAATTGATATCTCCGTTCTTTGTGATTCTGCCTCTTATACTTAGTGCTAAGTGTTTACTATTTGTGAAAATTGTATAAGTGCATTGGTCATTGGCCCCTGATCCCCTAGTCTGCCTGCAGTATTTTTATTGTGTGTCCGTATGTGTTCTTGAAATCAAACTTGTGTACTGTGAACTTTCTTGCTGAATCTTGTCATAGCCACTACTAAGTTTGAATTGAGCATGTTTAATTGGAGAGGGACTTTAATATGTGGAGCCAAAAATGAGGGCTATCTTAATGCAAACGAAATGTGCTAAAGCCTTAGATAATTCATAGCCTACTGAAATGTCTGTTGCTAAAAGAACTGAGTTAGAAGCAATAGCATGGAGTACTATTTTCTTGTACCTTTCGGACAATGTGATCAGGTGTATAGGTGAAATTAAAACTCATGAAGAATTGTGGACCAAATTGAAAGTTCAATATGAGCCAAAAACTGTTCCAAACAAATTTTTTTGCTAAAACAATTCTTTTCTTTCAAAATGGACCTTTCGGTTGACTTGGATGAAAACTTGGACAGATTTACAAAATTGACTCAGGACCTTGCCAACTGTGATGAGAAATTATTTGAGGATCAGCTGGCTGTGGTCTTGTTAAACTCCATTAGTAATAGGCATAGAGACTTAACGAATGCCTTGGAATATGGAAGAGATGAGCCTACCACAGATATCACCATAAATGCCTTAAGAAATAAGGTTCTTGAATTAAAATCAGATTGTATCAACCATCAAAATGGAGAAAATCTTTTGTTAAAGGGGAAAAATGTTGGTAAATCTAATTTCCATTCAAAATTTCAAAGTGACCCTAAGAAAAGGAACAATGACAAAATGAAATCCAAAACTAAGGCAAATGAAAAGAAATATTTTTATTGTGGTAAGTTGGGTCACTTTGCAAATGATTGTTACAAAAAGCAAAATGATTTGAAAGGATAGAAGCTAAGTGAAGGTAATGCTGTTATGTCCTATGATAAGAAACAAATTGATAATGGACTGGTTCTTGTAAATGTTGAAAGGAACGTGAATCAAGAATGGATTCTTGATTCGGGTTGCTCTTTCCACATATGCCCTAATAAAAACTATTTTTTGGATTTTGAACAAACAAAAGGAGGCCAAGTTATTATGGGAAACAACATGATCTGCAAAGTGAAAGGTATTGGAACAATAAAATTGCTTTTGGAAAATGACTATTTTATTATTAAAAGATGACAGATTTGTTCCTGAATTAGAAAGAAACCTTGTGTCTCTAAGAATGTTGGATGACATGGAGTTTGACATAAAATTGGGTCAAAGACACATTAAAATCTTTAGGGATAGTGACTTGATCACTTGATTCACTTCTATCCCAAAGAGATATGGTTTATACTTTCTAAATGCAAAACCTTTATTGGGTCTTTCAGCAGCTATTTTAGATGATGAATTTAACCTTGCAAAATTGTGGCATTGTAAACTTGCTCACATTGGGGTAAAAGGTTTAAAGACTTTACAAAATAAAAGTGTATTTGGAAAATCGAATATTGGTGAATTTGCTAAATCTGAACAATGTTTAATTGGAAAGCAAGTTAAATTACATTTTCCCACTAGTACTCATAAATCAAAGCAAATTCTAGAATACTTACATGCTGATTTGTGGGGTCCTGCATCCACCCCTACATTGTCTGGTTAAAAGTATTATTTGCTTATTATTGATGATTTCTCAAGAAAAATTTGGGTATTTCTTTTGAAAACTAAAGATAAAACATTTACTACATTTAAAGATTAGAAAACCCAAATTGAAAATCAAACTGATTTGAACATCAAAACTTTGAGAATGGACAATGGACTAGAATTTTGCAATTATGAGTTTAATGATTTTTGCAAGATGCATGGCATCTTAAGACATAGGACTGTAACATACACACCCCAACAAAATGGCATTGCAAAAAGAATGAATAGAACTTTGTTGAATAAAGTTAGATGCATGCTTTTAAGTTCGGGCTTGCCCAAATTATTTTGGGGTAAAGCTGTTAAAACTGCTGCATATTTGATTATTAGAAGTCCTACAAGTGCTTTATGTGCCTGAATCTGTGTAGACACAAAAGTCTGTGATTTATTTTTACTTGAAAACATTTGGTTGTGCTGCATATGCTCATCAAAACATTGGTAAACTTGAACCTAGATCACTTAAATGTGTGTTTTTGGGCTATGCTGAAAATATTAAAAGTTACAGGCTGTGGGTTTATGGGGAAAAAGGTTACATGATTATCATAAGAAGGGATGTGGTCTTTAATCAATCATGTATGCCATGTTTGGAAGGGAAAAAGGGAAATTTGACTGAAAATGATGTCCAAATTGAGGTGGAGCCTATTAAAATAGATGATACCAGTTCTTTCCCCTTAGAAACAGCAACTAATGAGGCTGACCAGAATGAAAATGAGCCTGATTTGGTCGAACCTGATTTATGTGATGACATAAATATACCTCTAGATAAATACCAGCTCACTAAAGATAGGGATAAGAGGCAAATTAGACCACCGGCTAGGTTCAACAGTGATGACTTTGTGTCTTTGTTCACTTACCAAGAAGAAATTGAAACTGAACCTAGTTCCTATCATGAATCCTTGAAATCTAAAGATTCTAAGCGGTGGTTGAGTGCTATGGAAGAAGAAATGTCTTCCTTATATAAGAATGAAACTTGGGAATTGGTTGACAAACCAAAGGATAAGAAACTAGTTGATTGCAAGTGGATTTATAAAATAAAGGAGGGGGAAGGTGGCATTAATAATGTTAGATACAAAGTTAGACTAGTTGCTAAGGGTTTCACACGAAAATAGGGTGTGGATTATGATGAGATTTTTTCCCCCGTGGTTAAATATACAACTATAAGATGTATTCTTGCTTTAGTTGTGCAATTTAAATGGAAACTTGATCAACTAGATGTAAAAACTGCATTCTTGTATGATGAATTGGATGAAGTGATCTACATCAGACAGCCTCTAGGATTTATTAAAGGATCCTGAAAAAATTGTGTGTTTGTTGAAAAAATCATTATATGGCCTAAAACAAGCTCCAAGAGAATGGTATAAAAGATTTGATTCATTTGTCTTGAAGCTTAGGTTTAGTAGAAACAATTATGATACATGTCTTTATTGTAAAGGAAGTGGAGGTAAAGATTCATTGTATCTTGTGCTTTATGTTGATGATATGCTTCTTGCTACTGCCAATAAATCTAAAATTGATGATATCAAACACAAATTAAAATCAGAATTTGATATAAAGGATCTTGGTCCCGCTAAGAAAATACTTGGCATGCAAATTATTAGAGATGAGAAATCTGATTTCTTGTTCTTATGTCAACAAGATTATGTGAATAAGATCCTAAAGAGGTTTAATATGTTTGATTGTAAACTTGTGACTTTACCCCTTACTAATCACTTTATATTAACATCTGATTCGTGTCCTAAAACTGGAGATGAACTTGAAAGAATGTCTAAAATTCCTTATGCTAAAGCTATAGGTTCAGTCATGTACTTAATGATTTGCACCAGACCTGATTTGACTTTTAGTATTAGTGTTTTGAGTAGA